CCCGTGACTAACTACTTAGTCACATTGAGCTCATTATGATGATGCATTACTGAGTGGGCCCAGAGATACCTCTCCGTCACACGGAGTGACAAATCCCAGTCTCGATTCGTGCCAACCCAACATACACTTTCGGAGATACCCGTAGTGCACCTTTATAGCCACCCAGTTACGTTGTGACGTTTGGCACACCCAAAGCATTCCTAAGGTATCCGGGAGTTGCACAATCTCATGGTCTAAGGAAATTATACTTGACATTAGAAAAGCATTTAGCAAACGAACTACACGATCTTGTGCTATACTTAGGATTGGGTCTTGTCCATCACATCATTCTCCTAATGATGTGATCCCGTTATCAATGACATCCAATGTCCATGGTCAAGAAACCATAACCTGATCAACGAGCTAGTCAACTAGAGGCTCACTAGGGACATGTTGTGGTCTATGTATTCACACATGTATTACGGTTTCCAGTTAATACAATTATAGCATGAACAATAGACAATTATCATGAACAAGGAAATATAATAATAACCATTTTATTATTGCCTCTAGGGCATATTTCCAACAAAATAATTCGTAGCTCGGATGAAAATACTTTGTACATGAAAGTTGCTCAGAACGACGAGATGAATCCGAATACACGATCCGTTCGTCTGCCACATGCCCCTAACTACCTGAACATGCAACTTTTCCCCTCTGTTTCATCTGTCCGAAAATGCCTAACTCCGGGAAAACTTTCCCGGATATTATCCCCCTTCGCCGGTAACATGTAGCACCGCGTTAGAACACGTCTAGCTCTTCCTGTTGTCCTGTTATGCTCTTGCTCGCTATGTATTTACTGTTTCTTCCCCCTCTTCTCTCCGGTAGACCCCGAGATTGCCGCTGATGCCCCTGTGATCGACTACGTCACTGACGACCCTCCTTCTTGTCTGAGTAACCAGGCAAGCCCCCCCTTTTGATCATCCCGATATCGCCCATTCTATACTCTCATGCTTGCATTAGATTTTGCTGATGTTATTGTTTGCTCCTATTCTGATGCATAGCCTACTTTTGTAACCTGCTCATTGTACCTTACCTGCTTATCCTAAACTGCTTAGTATAGGTTGGTTAGTGATCCATCAGTGACCCCCAGTACTTGTCCTTGTTGCCCCTGCTTCATCATCGACGACTCGATCAGCGTGATCGACGACCAGAGCCCGATACCTCACATCACATCACGCCCCTTTAGTTTCTCGACTCTGTAGAGCTACTATCGAGTGCCGAGGGTGATCCCTCATAACGCACTCCTGATGATAATTCTGTAGTGTAGCTATTCGGTCGTGGTCATCGAGGGTGATTTCCTCTTTCACCATTCCAGATACGGCTCTGTCGTTCAACACCTCAAGTGTGAACCTCGAGGGTGGTCCCTCTTACGTTCACCTTGATGATTACATTGAGTGGAATCCACCGGGGGTGATTCCTCGAGTTTTCCCTTTGATGTCTGGACACACGGTTACAATTGACTTTACTTGAGACCTTTGTGAAAGTCGGGCGGGCCCGGAGAGCACCCGCAAGATAATGACGTGGCACGGCCGGGCATTCTGAGCCCTTGTCGTAAGTCCACGAGACGGGGCGATGGGGTCATTTTCGATCGTGAGTCTCTGCTCGTCTCCGTAAGCTAATAATACACTATGGTTTGGGTATTTGTTCTGAGTTGGCCTTTGGCCTTTACGCACCAACCACCACGCGAGAATAGTTATGGGCCTCGACGTCGTGGTATCAGCCGAAGCTTTGTCAGATGTCCAGTTCAGCATTGCGGCACGGCCTCGTCGGTGCTCCAGTGGAGGTGGCCTGGATCGCCCTACGCGCAACGATCCGGAGTGCAACGGGCGATGGGCCCAGACCCCGGAGTGCTTATGATGTAGACCGGCGGGGACCTCTCTGCTGAGCCTAGGTCGGGCTGCGACGTGTTGATCTTCCGAGGGCGGGCATTGACCCCAGAAAGGTGTGTCCGGCCAGACTGATCGAGCGTGTTGGGTAACGTGGTGCACCCCTGCAGGGAAGTTATATATATTCTAATACCGTGTCCACGGTAATGGACGTTTAGACTTATATCCTGATCTTATACAACTACAAATGGATACTTGAGATATGTGGCTCCGGGATTGCTTTCTCGCAGGGAGTCGAGGAAGGATCTCTGGGCATTAATGTTACAACATGCTTGTTAATTATAAACTGCTATTCTTTACTCTTCTACATGCTGCAAGATGCTCGGAGCTGCGTGAAGATGCTAGTCTTCGATAGGCTAGGCTTTCCCCCTCTATTCTGGCATTCTACAGTTCAGTCCACAGATACAACCCTTCCATTTGATACAAATGCATACTTAGTATAGATTTGATGCTTGCGAGTACTTTGGATGAGTACTCACGGTTGCTTTGCTATCCCTTTTCCCCCTTCTTTCTTCTTTCCGGTTGATGCAACCAGATGGTGGATCCTTCAGCCAGATGCCACCGTCGACGGATACTACTACATGGAGGCCACCGAAGACCAGGAGTAGTTAGGAGGTCCCAGGCAGGATGCCTTGCCTCTTCGAGCGTGTTGCTTTTGTGCTAGCCTTCTTAAGGCAAAACTTGTTTAACTTATGATTGCACTCAGATCTTGTTACTTCCACTGACTCTTGTGTATCGAGCTATGTATTCGAGCCCTCGAGGCCCCTGGCTTGTAATATAAAGCTTGTATTATTTTATTTGTGTCTAGAGTTGTGTTGTGATATATTCCCGTGAGCCTCTGATCTTGATCATACACATTTGCGTGTATGATTAGTGTACGATTGAATCGGGGGCGTCACAATCCTAAGCTAAGCCCGCTATTTATACACCTAAGCTAAGCCCATTTTCAACTAAAAAACCCTAGGGAGTGTTTGTGGCCGGGGCGCCGGCCGAACCGTTGCGCCGGTCGCGGCCACGCGAGCAAGCGATCCTCCTACTCCCGAGCGACACGTATGTATAGGGCCCACACCCCAATCGTTGCCTTATCTTCTCCTTTATCTTCTCAATCGCTCGTTCCTTTCTTATCTGTTATTTCTCTTCCATGCCAGCGAGCCCGCTCCCTTCGTCCAATTTTCAGCTCGACGCCGACATGCCGGCCGCGCGTCCCCGCAGCACCGCCGTGGCATCCGTTCCGTCCATCGCATCTGGCTCCACTCCGACGACGGCGACCTCCGCAGCCGCTGCAACCAAGCTAGACCGCGAGGCTGCTTGCGTCGTCATCGCCATGGCCAGCAACCACCCCAAGATGCCCCATGCTGGCTCCGTCGGTACTGCTCCGGCGAGCGCCACCCTCCTCCTATGCTGGAACTGCCCTCCTCCTAGTCCTATGGTTGCATCCCCGAGGAGCAGACGCCGAAGCTGGAACAAGCCTCTTTTTTGACACAGTCAACCAAAGCAAAAGCTGGAACCACAGTTGGTTTTTGCTTCATACAACAAGCGAGCTGAAACCACAGCTGGTTTTTGCTACAACTGCATCACATTTTTGCTACAACTGGGGTTCTGGAAAGCTACAACCGATGCGGCGAAAAGCTTCAACCAGCGGCGACAGATGCTGGAACCAACCACTACCACAACAAAAGGCTACATCCAGTATCGTACAAAGCTTCAACCGGCGTTGGAAAAAGCTTCAAACACTGAATGCCAATGCTAGGGGCTGGCTACTGCCAACAGGGAAAAAGCTTCAAGGTGTCGCAAAAAGCTTCAACCGTAGATAAATAAAGATTCAACCGTAGCCGATTTTTGCTACCACAGGCAAAGTTTTTTGCTACATCCATCAAGGCGGAGCTGCAACCTCGCGACGGCGACGACGATTTGTTGCAACCATAATAGGATTTTGCTACTACCGCCGAAGGTTTTTGCTACGTCCATCTAGGCGGAGCTGCGACCTCACGACGGCGGCGAGAAGATTTTTGCTGCAACCGTAGTTGTTTTTTGCTACTACCGGTGAAGTTTTTGCTACATCCATTCAAATGGGGTTGATTAACTGGCGGCCGTCGTCGATGCAATCCCCTGTAGCCAGCATCAGCGGCGAGGGCGACGACGGAGCTACAACCATCGCCATCGAGAGCTGCAGCCGCAGGTAGAGTTGTTGCATGGGTCGAGGCGACGACGAGGACGGCCGGGATGGTGGGGACCGGCAACGAGGACGGCCAGCGAGGGCGGGGACCGGCGATGAGGAAGGCCGGCGAGGGGTAGGGCCGGGCGACGAGGATGGCCACCGAAGGGGGCAGGAGGCGCCGCGCCACGCTCCCCCGAGCGAGAGATGCGGATCTAGCCTGACCACGCGAGGAAGAAGCTGTTGGGGCGTTTTGTTTCTTTTTTTTACCAGATCCAAAGGCTGCACGGCTCACATCCAATGGCTGGGGCTCGACCAGCCGAACGATTCGGCCGGCGCACCGGCGCCTATTGGTGCCCAAAAAACCCTAAGCTAAGCCCATTAATATTTCTCAAAAAGAAAATGCTAGGCCCATTCCATTGACGTTTCTGCTGTATCCATGCCCCCTCCCCCTCCGCCGCCGCCACAACCGCACCTCCACCTGTGGACGGAGCAGCAGCCACCCCGCCGGCGACGACCATGGCCGAGGCCGCAACAGCAGAAGCCACGCCTCTCATCCATGGCCTCCCAGACGAGGTCGTCATCTGGGAGATCCTCGCCCGCCTCGATCCCAAATCGCTCCTCTGCTGCCGCGCCGTCCGCCGGGCCTGGCGCCGCGCCACCTCCACCCGCGGCCTCCTCCTCGCGCACCACGTGCGCCAGCCCTCCCTCCCCATCCTCTACGGTTACAGCTGCGTCGGGAACGACGTCATGTCCATATCCATCATCCCCTTCAACCACCAGCTCCAGCCCGTCGCGCGGCTGGGCCACGCCTAGTCCGTCCGGAGGCCTCCTGCGACGGCCTCCTCGTTCTCTCCATCCTCGCCACCTACTTCGCCATCTGCAACCCCGCAACTCGTCAGTATGCTCCCCTCCGTATGGTTTCTGAGTTCAGCATATTGGGAATGTACCCTCACCGGCCTACCGGCGAGTACAGACTGCTCATGCACTCTTCGAAATCCGTGAAGCAGGCCTCTGTTCTTTATGGTCCCTGCACCAGACCGTCACCTGAAAATCAAGTTGGCTGCTACGTCCTATCACTCGGCTCTGGTCAGCTGCCGAGGTACATTGAGTGTGCGGAAGCCAAGGAACTGAAATTGAGCAACAATTCTGTGCTATTCCGTGGTTGCTTACATTGGTACCCAGTGCGACACGGAAGCGGCAGCATCATGATAATAGTGTTCGACACAACAGCCGAGTCGTTCCGGCTGATGCGCGCTCCGGTTTTCCCTGGCGGCTGTGATGACCTGTTTGAGATGGATGGCATGCTCGGCATGTCCAGCTCTAATAAGGCAAAGACAATCATTCGTATCTGGGTGCTGCGAGACTATGAAAGCGAGGACTGGATCTTAAAGTGCAAGATTGAATTGCCGGTTATGGAGATCAGGGTGCCATGGGACAGTCACGAGCATGAAATTTTTTGGGACGTGGTGGTCGTGCCTGGGGATGGTGAATTGCTTGTACTGGTCAAATATGCGGGGCGGCTACTTCAGGTTGACATGGATGGCAAGTTGGTCACCACTTTCTATCACAAAGGCGTCCGTCCTACTCAATTACAGCTCAAACAAAGTCTTGTTCCGCATGCTTTCTTTCCATCACTAGAGGGTTATGTTGTGAATGATTGGCCTTTCATCTGAAGGCTGTTGAGTGAGCTGGTGCTTCTTAGTGTCCTAGGTGTTTCTATCCTCATATGCTGCAGTATGTGTGAATTGGATCCATCATGAGCCTACTAGCTTCTTTGTTGATGTAAAAAAAAATATAATTAAGAAGCTCTGATTGTTACATAGTTCTATGAAGTGTATGCTTTTGCCGATACCCCTTTGGAAAGAAAGGATTCTTGTGCGTGTCAATGCCAAAATTACAAGTCATTCTGGTGTGTGTTTGTAATATGTGATAACTAATCTGCTCCATGTATCTATTTTGTTGAACTGGAGAATTGACTTTGGTTCTTTACGTAGGCCTCTAGGGGTCTTCTTGCTACTTATTACTTGCAATCTACCTCCCTGGTGTCTCCATTTTTTGAACTCAAGAAATGCCTTTCCCTTTTTTATCTAGGTCTTATTTATTGAGAGATTCTCTGGTGGCTTTCTTGAAAATCAATATTTGGCAATGTACATGTGTTTGTTCTTTTTTTTTCTACCTAGCGATGAGATGTGGCAAATTATCCTCTATGTTGACTTGCAAGTTGCACCTGAGTTTTAGAAGAGCTTGGATCCCTACTCCTTGATTAAATGATTGCACCATAGGTAATTTTCTTTATGAATCCACTGCATATGGTTAGCTAGGGGATTAAGCTCACCACTAAAGCAAGAGTTAATTATAGCAGACATGGTTAAGCAGTTGCTGTTGTTTTTATTCCTAAGAAAAAAAACTGTTCGACAACATTGTCCTTGTTGCAACATTAGTTGATCCGTTGAAAAATCAAACTGGAAGGTTAATTTTGTGTTTCCATGCCTTGTTCAGAATTATCTTACATCATTTCACATTAGGTGCAAAACATTCTAAGTAATGCTTCATGTAACTGGTTCATGGTCATAGCCAGGCTTATGTCCCACATTTTGTCCCTCTTGAGACACTGCGGTAATTGCCATATTTGGACCATGTTTATTTTCATCTGTATTTGTGACTAGACTATTTTGGTTACCAAATATTGGAATCAGAATCGGCTTGTCTCGAGCAAAGGACAGCACCAGGAATTATGTGGGAAATACTTTTGTATAAGGAGAAGCAAGTTGAAAGCTCACTCTTGTCACCTGTTACTGTATGTATTATATGCCATCATTCCTTACTGCAGATGCATTATGTACTATAGCAGAGAATTGCTCAGCTAATCAAATTTAGTCTACTCAACAGTGAATAATCTACTGTATGACCCTTTTGGAGTGCCTGGTTACATTTTACACCATCAAACGCAGCATACAAGTTTAACGTTCGGATCCTCTCCAGGCCCTCGTGGCAAGTGTCGTACCCTGCTGGCACACATGTGGGGAGAGCAAGGAAGGAAAATGTGGCGGGAGATGGCTGGGTGGATTGGGCTCGACGTTCAGGTCCTCTCTGCAATAAGGTATTGGTGGTGCAACCACCGCCTTTCAATATGTTTTCACTTCTCTGAATATAACTTGGGAGTTGTTACTAGTTTGTTAATAGGAAGCATTGCTGAAAACACTGTATATCATCTAATTGCCAGCATTAATTCTCAATCTCTAAGTTGAAAATTCCCTAATGTTATCGTCTGTGCTTGGAGCTACAGTTTCAGTTTCCACTTTACTAACATGTGGTGCTTTAGTTCACTCGCGTCAATGTATGTTCTCAAAAAAGTAGAGAAGCTAATATATACAGTTTTCGTAGGTAGCAGCAGTCCAATTCTATGCAAGTATGCAGGTTTCAGTTTCCACTTGAGGTTGCACCTAGACTGCAGAACAAAAACATGCTGAGCCATCAAACATGAAAGGGCTAGGAGATCACCATATTGGTTAAGTTTGTATGCCTGGACTACATGAAACTGTGCAGCACTATCCTCTGAATTCCTTGGCTTGGCTCCAAGATCCCGGCTGTAGCGGGAAGTACAGTGCTGACCAAATACCGCTCGTAACTTCCCAAGCTGCACGTACCAATGCCCACAGCCGCAATTCAGAGTAACGCTGATTGAGCAAGAATTCAGATAAGATGCAAGATGTCCAGGAGACCCTATTTTACTGCTCCACTAAAAAGACCAGAAAAATCTGCAATGGAGTATATAAGGTAGCATTTCTTGCAGTTTGCTTTAATCCTTGGCTGATGGTCAGGTGTAGGAAAACTGCGTATGACAGCATGCTCCTGCACCTGATAATTTGTAGGAACTCCAGCGGAATTTTCCCTGTTACATATGTCGTCATGTTGTTGAGGTCCAGCCTATGAAAAAAATGCGATGTATAGTGTCCTTTACTAAAATGCCTTTACTACAGTTATATTCAGCAGTGGGCTTGATCATGCCGTCGACATTGGTAACAACAAGATCATTCCAATAACCAGGTTCAGAGTGTATTGGATTTACCAGGTAAAAGTTATCAACTGGGAGTTGAACACCATCTTTAAGGAATTGGCCCACCTTCCTGGAACATGCAGATTGGGATTCTGGGTCAGTGTGTTCACTGTTGTTGAAATCCCAAGAAGGCAATCAATTTGATTGCCTGTATTGCAAAGGTTCCGTTGCAAGAAATTGCCTTCCACTCTGTCATACTGCAGCCTGTAAGTGTGGAAGTAGTATGTGTCCTACAATTTGTTGATCCATGCATCAATCTATATATGCTTGCACGTGTAGTAGACTCCCAGCAGTTCACTCAACTCTTGATGCAACAAGGAGAATCATGCAACCCGAGTGAACTGAACTGTTCCAGGTACATGCATGGATGAAGGCATGGATGGGCAGAAATCACATATTTGACCTCAGGCCCAAATCAAATCACAAACTGACCTGGTCACGAAAAAATTTCACTCTACTGACCCTTCGGTGTGACGCCCGACAGCTGGGCGCCGCACCCTACTGTGCAGCGCCCATCACTTAGGCGCCACACTTCCTGCCAGCGTGGCAGCCCTGGTCTAGCTGCGGCCCCACAGATAGCACTGCAGCGCCTAAGTCTTAGGCGCCACACATGTAATGTGCAGCGCCTAGCTCGTGGGCGCTGCACAGTCTGTGTTCCACTTGGGCTGGCCCCACCCTCTCTCCCCTCCCACCCCACCCCACACACCCCCACCCCACCCAAACCCTAAGGCTTGCGGCCCTCCTCTCTTCCCCTCTCCCCCCTCTCAAATCCTTCTCAAATCTTGCAAATCCGGAGTATTTGACCGTGGATTTCGAAGCCAACCCCTCCCTTAAGGTAATCTCCTTCGATCCCCTCGTTTTCATCCATAGGAATTGTCACATTTGCTCAAATCTTGCTAGTTTGGGGGAAACCCTAGTTTTGACTTGGATTTGCAATTTTGTGTTGAATGATGTTATGTTTCTTTGCTACTTGGGTTGGTTAAGCTTCCATAGTATGCTAGGGTTAGGGTTATGTGTGTTTGATGTTGGTGTTAGGGTTATGCTATGTTTATGGTTGTTATATATGTTAGGGCATATGTGTGCAAATATTTTTCTTAAGTATTTACTTGATATATGTGTGTTTTTGATTATTGTAGGGATGGGGAGAACATGTGTTTATGTTCATCATGTGGATAGAGAGGCCTTTTTGAAAGGCAATGTTGAGACGGACCCGGATGAGCTTGACATGGTGTTTGAGAGTAGTCCTAGCTATGCGGAGCTTTTGGAACAAGTGAGGAAAGATTTGAATTGGATGGACCCAAGTGACGTTGTTGAGTTCGAGGGAAGGCATAATGTTGGTTTTGGAATGCACATCCGTTGGAAGACAATGCGTGTGAACTCCGAGCAACGTTGGGTTGCATACAAGGAGACGGTTGCCGAATCTCTAGACAAGGCTCTTGAGTTATTTGTCTCCAAGAAGGTTGAGTCTACTTTGAATTTAGACTTGAACCGGAACCCCTCCCCGTTGGTTGCTAGCACTCCCCCACCCATGAACCAAGATCAAATGAGTGAACCTCAATTCACGCAACAAGATTGGCCAACATTGAGCCCGACTCCAAACAACCAAAATGAAGGTTTTGAAGAGGAGAATGATGAGTACGAGGAGGATGACAACGAAGTTGACCTCCATGACAACAATGTGGGTGATCTCGACCAATATCATATGCAAGAGACAATGGACCAATCCATCCCTTTTTCCCGTGCATATGCATCGTTGGCATAAAATTTGTGTTTGTTCAAATTGCTGTGATGTTGCAGTCATTGTAAGTATTATGGATGTAGTGGGAGTAGCCATGGGAGTAACTGTTGGCTTTCTGGATAGCCATGGGAGTAGTGCAGCGCCTAAGGGTAGGGCGCTGCACTGTACAGTGCAGCGCCTAACTGTTGGGCGCCACACAGTACAGTGCAGCGCCTAACAGTTGGGCGCTGCAGTGTTGCTATAAGCAAAACTGCAGAAACAGATGCCATTTTGGCCTCCTGCAGCAGCACTCACATAACTAGAACATCAATAAAAGTACTATAAACTGGACATGCTAAGCAAAGAGAACTAATAACTTGAACATCACATCATTTAAGACAATTCAAGTTTGCTTCAAGTTTGCAAACACAAATACCATAACATAACCTCACAAGTTCACAAGTTCATCATATAACATAACCTCACAAGTTCATCAACCTAACACAAAGCACTAATGCCTTCCATGTGTGTTCCTGGTGCCACGCCTGCAGGTAATCTTCTTCTTCTTAGGAGCACGAGGCTCCTCTTCGTGCACTTCCTCCTCCGCCTGCGGCTCCGCCTCCGCCTCCTCCTCCGCCTCATCATCCAAGCTAGCCATCCGCGAGGTCCCTACGACCACCTTTGGGTTGCCTCTGTTGTCATAGTCATTGGGCGTGTACCGGCGTCTGGGCTGCCTAGGCTTGAACACATAAGCGGACCGAGCTTGAGCGTCCGCCAAAAACATGTCATCATCAAGCTCATGGCCCTATCACACAACGAAACAATATGGTCAAGGCCGGTGTCGCAATCAAGTGAGAATCACATCTAAAGGCTTAGTCATACCTCTTGGGTGAGCGCAC